TCTCGAATATCGGATCCAGCAGAACGTCTTCCGGCAGCCTCGTATGCCGGGCTCCCTTCTTCCATTTAAGTTCGCATCTCAGGCGGTATGCCGCCATTGCTGCAGCAGCCACCACCACCTGATGAAATGGTTCGATGCCGAACATTACGCCCATCGCCGCCACTGGTGTCGTAACCATAGCACCCAGGGCCCCTCTCAAAATCAGAGCCCTGACATGCTCCAGCGCAACTTTGGCTGTTTTCTTTTGCACCCTAGTCCACCATACTACGGCTGCGTATGTGAGTCTGGGGCGAAGTATGGCTGTGTAGATCCAGTGTATCATACTCGGTTTCAAGCCCCAAGTCTGGCCAAAGGTCCTTCTACACGTCCAAAAATACTGGCACAAGCTTTTGCACTGATTACGAAGGTGCTCCTCCCAAAGCAGTTTCTTATCCAGGATAACTCCCAAATATTTCACCGATTCGGTCGGAACTAACCTTACTCCTCCAAGAGTGGGTCCCACAATGGTGCCCACCTTGTATTTGCGAGTGAAGACAGTAAGACCGGTTTTCAGTGGATTCACCGCTAACCCTGTCCTCTGACACCACTCTTCTACAACTTCCAGTGCCCCCTGCATGAGCTCTAGAAGCGTCTTTAGGAACGGGCCTCGCACAAGTATTGCCACGTGTCCGTGTAGCCTTGTGCAGTGAAGCCTCTATCGTCCAGTGCCCTTAATAAACCGTCTGCTACCAGGCACCATAAAAGTGGGGAAAGTACTCCGCCCTGCGGGCAGCCTCTTCCCACCCACCCACAGACTTTCGCAGTTCCCAGCGAAGTCATCACACGCCTCCCTAGCATGCCCCGGATCCACTCAACGAGCTTTATCGGGACACCCCTTCTGGCGGCTTCCTCACACACTACCTCGTGCGGTGTGTTGTTAAAGGCGCCCTCTATGTCCAAGAAGGCACCCACCGCGTAGCCCTTCCTTTCCAGCTGCTCCTCAATAAACGCTACCGTCTGATGTAGAGCAGTCTCGGTGGAATAGCCCGAACGATACGCGTGCTGATTCTTGTGGAGAGGGTGACTCCACAGAGTTGTCTCCCTCAGATACGCGTCCACCAGCTTCTCCAATGTTTTAAGGAGAAACAATGTTAGGCTAATTGGCCTGAAATCCTTTGCCTTGGTGTAGCTCGTTCTTCCCGCCTTCGGAATGAAAACTACCCTGACCAGTTTCCATGCGCTAGGTGTGTAGCTCATCGCGATAAAGGCCCTTAAGGTTCGGGTCAGTGGGCCCACGATCTGTTCCAGTCCCTCTTGTAGAAGAGCCGGAAAGACACCATCCGGTCCCGCTGACTTGTAGGGCTTAAAGGTGTTAATTGCCCACTTGACCTTCTCGGGCATGACAATCTTGGCCGCCATTCGCCAGTCCGCTTGTCGGGCTCTTCTGAGTGAGCCCGGCTCCTTATATGCAAATAGCTCTCCCTGCTCCCTATGGAAGCCCGGAAAGCTCACTTCCAGTAGATGCTCCAGACATTACTCTCCAGTCATCACCGTCCCATCAGGGAGTGCGATGGCTTCCAGAGCCGCATCCGGGTTCC